TGTTGAAGAGGAAATAACAGTGGCCATCCCTACGTCTGTTTGAAAATCAAAGGTTTAAGGATTCTCCTTAAAATCGTTTCACAGAAAAAAAATATGTATCTCTGCTGCAAAACACAACATTCCCAAGAAATAAAGCATCAATAAGCATATGTTTCTTCTTTCTTTCTGTTCGTTGCCACCTCTTGATTGCTTAGAGGCTTCACAGCCACAAATAGTGGTACCGGCACCTGTTTCATTTCTGCAAAGAACTTCCTAAAGTGAAAAACTAATGCAGATAAATAGCAACACTCCGTCTTCTTTTTCCCTCAGTTTAATGATGAAAACAAAATTCATGTGGAAAATATCTTTGAGTGGGACTGGAGGGCATTTTCCTCATGAATTTCTCTGTAGACCTTATTTGCTTTGAGACATGAAAAATTAAGATTCCTTCTATCTGACCTGGTGAAGATCAGTCCAAACATGATTTTTTTTTAAAGTTAACACTGAGCAACGCTGAATAAAAATAACATAAACAATGCAACTATGTAAACAAAATGACTCATTTACATAGAACGCTGCCGTCGCAGAGGACATTTTCAACAGAGCCCTTCTGGTTCAGCGTGCAATGAATTAGCAGTTTGATTTTTTTACTTTTTATAAAAGTTGTGTAGTTTTGGTTGTTTGTGGTCTCCAGTATGAATTAATGGCTTGTGAGTTGTTTTCTTAAAAAAAATGTTCTCACATTTGTGTTTAAGGAGTAGAAGTTTGTTGGATGAGTGGGGGGGGGCCAAAAATGACAGGTCTTTCTCATTAACAATCATGAAATGCTAATTTCCTATCACCGATTGGCTAACGGAAACCCTTTCACTGCCTTCAATACCAAAATTCACAATACTAAAAACTGCTACGGTGATGTTTTATCTCCACAATTACCACACGCTTGCTGATGTTCTGCTCTCTCCTGGTTTCTGAATCAACAACAGCCTTCTGTGGTCGCAACCCTTGTTGGGAGGGGCCGTGAATACTAAGTTTCCCTGTGACGCAAAAGAGACTGGCTAATTCTAACCTGATCATTTTCTCGTTTATTTCCTTTTGGGAGCTAATCCAGACAAGAAGACTGAAGAAAACTGTCACAGAGAAGCTGAGATGATTGCCATGCTGTTGCTCCTCCTCCATTTGATAAAGTTCTTGTGGTTAAAGAATCCTGCTTGCTACTTCCCACCAACTCAAAAAAAACCCCTAGGGGCTAAAACTGCAAGTGCATGGGCACCCTTAGAGTTATGTTATGACCTGGGGACCACTCACTGGTAAATGGCCTGTATCTACAGTATCAAGCAGCTTCTGGGGTTCTACAACCCCCCAAGCCACTTTACAAACACCAGTTATTAAGGCACACACACATTCACATACTGGTGGTGATGAGCTACAATGTAGCCACAGCTGCCCTGGAACACTGGAGCCACTGGTCTTCCCAACCGCCACCAGCATGCAAGGGGGGTGAAATGTCATGCCGAAGGACACAGTGGCTGTGAGAGACCGAGCGGGGATGGAACCTGCAATCCTCCGGTTGCGGGGCAGGCACTTAACTCCTTTGCCACTGTCAACCCATGGACCAGGGAGGAAGACTTTCTGAGAAGAGTGAAGAGATCTTACAAGAGAACCAGGAGGAGGAGTGTGAGTTCTTCAGTAACTCTGTGGCAACTACACATAAACCGACTCACGGTCACTCCCCGCTCAGACAGGAAACCTTGCAAGATAAAATATGACTTCAGAGTAAACAAACATGGAGGAGGAGGAGCACGCTGCACACTTCTGTCTCTTCATTTTCTATAGATGTCATATTTAACAGGGATTGTTTTAGTAGTCCTCCAAAATCAGACTAAAACAACTGAACACGTTTCAAAGCCCAAATGTATGATCAAAGCAGTCACCAACATTTTTTCCAAGCAGACTAGAGTGCTTGCGACACACCACACAAAGTGGGATTATCTGATAAGATTATCATCAGAGTCATTATGGTAATAATGCGGAGCCTTAAGATTGTCATGAGGGGGGAAGCTGGTCAAAATCAGCGTCATCACAAGATCATCCTCCCATGTGAGTTCGGCTTAAGAGGGGTCTCTCAAAGACCAGTTTACACCTAGCTAAATATTACTAAAAATGCTTGAAACTTCATCTGCAAATGATTTGGTGATATGTTTGGGTTACCTTGATGTTGCAACACAAAGATGTGTCCTCTTTTAATATCTTCACCTTTATTAAATCACCAAATCTACTAAATATACGTAAAATCAGAATAGGCCTACTGTAAGTTAGATTTTTACTTCCTTCTTTTTTCAGTTCTGAGTCACTTGTAGGTTAACTTAAATTAGGAAGGTTTTAGTTTGTGTGCTTTTGTGCATTAGCCCTGTAACTATATAGTCAGAGCTACAAGTCTATTTGCAAGTGGTACAAACAAAATGCTGTGTATAGCATTCATGAATCAAATCCCTTGTTGCCACCGCGGTATTGTCTTCCCTGTTTTTAAGTGGCTGGAGGGTCAATGCCGAGGTGAAATGATAGATACCATCCTTCACGTGATCAATACTTCTGCCTTCTTCCAGTGTTGCCTGGGCTGCCTCACTGTAGACTAATTAGATGATAAAACGTGATGGATGTGTATTAAATCCAGCTGGTCCTTATGAGAAGTCACACGGGCTTTGTCCCTTTTCCAGGTGACCTTTTGGATTCTAAGTTTATTGTTTGAGGATGAAGTTTGATTGGTTTGTTAGATGCTTGCCTATTAGCAATAGCCTCTCAGCACAGAGAGGCATAAACAATGGAGAAGACAACAATAAACCCCGAACATTAAATCCTAATGATTTTCAAAGATTCTGAGTCACATATAACATCACAAACTAAGTGATCGTGATTCAGATAATGTGAGTTTTTGCAGAAGTGAACTCAGAGGGCGGGGTCCTTTTTTTTTTTTTGGTAATATTTATAGAGAAATTGGTGTTTTCCTCCCATTTCTTCAAAGTGTTTACTCATGCTTTTTGATTGCACTATCTTTGCTGCTCATCCCCCCCATTGTGCCACTGTGTTATCATCAGGGTGTTGATGTTAGAATGATGCAACCATAGACTGTACATATACTGGACAAACGGATTCCATTGGCTTCAATAACACGTTTGTTGTCTATACTGGGAGGTGGCCACCACCGCCATTTTGACCGTGTCACAGGTTCCGTCCAGCCCAGACAATTCCATAAAAGGGAAGAGAGGAGGCGCTGAGGGTGTGGCTGTAAGGCTGGGCTCGAGTGACGACACCCAGGCGAACTAGCTACGAGCTAACCTGAAGCTAACCCTGGCTAACCCAAAGCTAAAGCGGAGGTGGGAGCCGAGCTAACGGATGTAGCCACCTAGCTTCAACCCAACCGGAGCTAACTGGAACACCCATCGACCTGAACCTTACACGGAGTTTAGGTGGAGGTTTTCTGCGCCTGTTCGTGAGAAGTACCAGTATTAAAAAAAGTTTTAAATCGGTAAGTTTATAATTTATTTCCGTAATGAAAACATTTTGCTTTGAGCAAGTTTTCAGTAGTTTTTTTCGGCGCTATCACTCCTGAGTCGCACCAGCCATTAAATGTATCATGAAGAAGAGAACATATATTTAAGTCGTATTTTGGGGGGACATTTTATTATCTTTCTTACAAAATCTGAGACCAAGCGTTTCACATTGCAACACAAGCACCGGTAACCATAACAGAATGAACAACAGCCAGCAGAGGAGAGGATGGCGGTGTTTCCACCCCTCCCGGCCGGCGAGGAGAGCTCATTCCTGGGCTGGAGCCGGCCCTCAGCACCCCGCCACAGGCTCTAACAGATGCTGGCGGTGTTTGAAACCCTCCCAGCGGGACAGGGGAACTCATTCTTGTGTGGGTCGGAGTCGGCCCGCAGCAGCGCGGTGTAGCCTACATATTTTGTTATATAAGTCGCTCTGGAGTATAAGTAGCAGGACCAGCCAGAATATGTAAAAAAGTGCGAGTTATAGTCCGGAAAATATGGCAGTTATTAGTATTCGAGCTAAATTAGCAGCCTAAATACATTTCATATATTTCCAAAATGTAATACTTGTTTGTATCTTGTACAGCCAACTAGTCTTTATTCTGGACTCAGTACAATTTACCAAAAGTAAAGAGACATTCTACAGATGAAGTAAGCACAAGATAACTTACTGGAAGACACGGAATTATCATGAGAACCAGAACAAGAGAGCCTGATAACAGTCATGTGAAAATAACAGTTAAAAAGTATGTATGTATAATAGAAATAAAAATATATTAGAATTAGTGTAACTCACTGTGATCCAAACAATAAATCAGCCATAGCTGATTAGTAAATATGACATGAGGTCTTGGAGTTTTTAATTTTCATTTTTTTCTTAGATCTGTTAAAAGGTCACCATGGCAGCCTGTGTGTCTCCAACATCAGCTACACAAAGCAGCAAGTGTAAATTCCACATACCTGTCTCACCACTTCATGTATGGTTTTGTACTTTAAACAATTATGACAAACCTGTTATTTTTTCTCCATAGCCATTTGGATAATTGGAGACAGCTGAGTGAGGCGTGGTGCCCAGAGAGCTGCAGAGACAACCTTGGCCTCCCTGACGTCTGTGTCTCCTGGTTCGGTTGGGGCGGACCATCGACATACATACATACATACATGTGCCGACACTTTGCGCCCTGTTTTATAAAATGTAGTGTTAAAAATAAATGTTTTTGCTCAATTACTGGAATTTCTTTGGTTAAGACAAAAGTGAGGAATAATCATTTACAAGTTATTTGTACAACAGGCCCATTTTAAATCCCAACAGTTTCTTAGCAGACAATAGAAATTTGTTCTTTACTAACTTTACTTGGTTTAAAAATCTTACTAAAATAGTGGCGTATTGCAAAACCCAATCATACTTATGTAAACATTAGCGTTGTAGATATTTTTTACAGATCTATATTTGTGTGCAACAAATCCAAACTTAAATAATTTGTCATTCTTTATTGAAAAACAACAAAATACAGTTATACAGAAGTGTGGGAAAATGATAATGTGAAAGTATTGCTATTTAAATGTAATCCTATTTATCTTTAAAAAGAAAAACTCTAAAAATGTCCTGTACAGCATCATGACAGAAGAATGGTGGTCTGTCTGTCAGAATGTGCTGAACAGATTTGCTCTTTGAAGAGGAGTGTCATGTTTGGAGGAAGGTACTTAACCCAAGACATGCAGAATACAACACTGACCAAAAACTGATGGAAAAAATGATTTCTTTATAAGGAGGAACTTAAGGTGCACAGATAAGTCTGTGGTTGGAACTGCAACAACAGCTCAGCGTCTGGAGGAGGGAGAACACAGGTGAGCTTAGGTTCTGGTTTCAAAATCCATTGTAGGCAGGCAGAGGTGTTCAGCAGAACTTACTGTGGTGGGTGTACGTGTTGGCTGGAGGAGGGAGAGGTAGAGAGGAAGCGCAGGAGAGGGAGCAGAGGTGGAGAGAAGCGGGGCGTCCTGGTGGATGGGGCACTGGGTGAGATGAGAGGTGGGTTATGGAGGCTGGTGATAAGGTCCGTGTGTTGAATATCCAAATCCTGGAGTAGAGGTCAGTATCCAATGAGGTCGACAGGAATCCTGAAGAATGGTAAATCCAATATAAGAGCAAAAACACTACGAAATAACATTAATCCTAGGAACACTAGAGGTAACACGAGTGGCTGGTTACTACCAAAACTGAGGCAATCTTCTGGCGTCAACTTGTGTCCTGCATCCACCTTAAACAGGAAAGCACCCCGCTGATTGCTGATCAGGAACGGCTGGGGTGGAGTCACCAGAACCATGAAGAACGTGTCTCCAGAGACAACCCGGGTCCTGGTACCGATCAGGAAGCGGACCTTATCACCCAGAGCTGCCAGGTCATGCTCAAAGCCTTCATGTTCACGCTGCAGAGCCTGAACGCTGGCCAGGTCGTGGCCGTAGTTGTCTGTTTTCAGGGCCTGGTTCTTCTCCTCGATCCACTCTTTGGTCTCATCAGCATCTCTGAGAAGACATCAGAACTCCGTCTGAGTGTGGGTCCAAACTCTACTGACCCGTAAGCGGCGCATAAGTGTGCGGGGTACCTGTGGAAGCGCTGCACCTCATGGGCGCTGCCCAGCATGTTGCTCCGGTCTTCAGCCAGCTGTTGCAGCGAGCGCCAGCAGTTGTTCAGCTCCTGGAGAGAAACCAAACCCAGTGAGATGAAGGTGGACGCCAGCGGGCTGGACGCCGGACGAGGAAACCTGGAGATGGATCGCTCAGACAGGAAGGGAAGAGCTTCCTCTTACCTTGATGGAATTAAAGTTAGCCGTCGTCTGAACGCCCAACCGTACGGTCTGAGGTCAAAGGTCACAGGAAACACACACCAGTCAGCAGTCATACAGATGCATAAAGATAACTGTAGCCATGGCAACCAGCTGGCATGTCCCCACTTTCACCAGCACCTGGTGCCTGCCGGGTCACCTGAATTCCTGTGTGATGTCAGCACGGTCGGCCGTGACTGCGGCCATCAGAGGTGACCTCTGATCAGCTGAATGAACTCACCTTCTAGGGTGACGCCGTCTTACCCCGGGTTTCCACAGGAGCCGTCAGCAGCACGTTACTGCAGCAGCACTTCTTGCTCGCGTAAGCTGCTGCTTGGCCCTTCCCACGAGACGCGAAGCAGCAGGGGAGCAGCTGTCACCGACCGAGCACGAAGTCACACGAGTGACTTCATCAGTAAACACAACAACAAGCAGGAGAAAACTACAACATGGTTTGTGTTTTATGTTCTGTCCATTTTATAATCGCCAATACGGACCTGAAAAACAAAGGAGACCGCTAGCTAGGTGATAACTTCTCACGGGGCCGCTCAGTTAGTAACTGTTTTTAAAATTAAAGCAACCGGAAGGCAGTACGTTCTTTATTCTGAAAATCTCGGTAGCTTCTCTCAATTTCCGCGTCCGATTTCCTGTCTTTCCTTCCCCAAAAATGTCGAACTTGACCCGTTTCAGAGGCGTCGCGCGTAGAAAATAGAACCGGCGCGTAAAGGCCGCGACATGCTGCTCCTGAGACGCGGCCGACTCGCGCTGCTGACGGCTCCAGTGGAAAAGGTTCTGTTGACCACAGCGGTTCCTATCAGCAGCTATGACGTGTTGCTGCAGTAACGTGCTGCTGACGACTCCTGTGGAAAGCCGGGGTTAGAGTCGGCTTCATCCTGTAAACAAACAAATGAGTGGTAACAAAAACACCACGTCTGGTTCTGGTGGAGGCGGAGGACAACACGCACCTTTCCAGGAGCAGAACCCAGATGTTCTTGTTGCTACAAACAGAGACGAGCAGAGTTAACAAACCAGGAAGTGAGAGGGACCAGCTGCTGCAGACAGGTGACGCTCACCTGAGCCTGAACCATAGGAGCCTCCTCAGCCATCAGACCTTCTGACTCCAGTTCAGATGCCACCTTGTTGATGTCCCTCAGGCGGGACTCGTTGGCCTTCAGGTCCTGCAGGACAAAAGCACAGCTGATTATCACCTGAGCTGATCTGACAGCTGCTGCTGGAAGTCGGAGAGGAGGAAAAGTCCGACCTTCTGGAAGTCGTCAAACTTCTTCTGCAAGACCTCGACCTGCTCCAGGTCCGACCCGTCTCTCCATCCTCATTCAGCTAAAGACGCGAGTTCAAGTAAAACAACCTAAAGTCACACAAACACAAAGCAGGTGTGGAGATGTTCGCTCTGAGCTGGAGGTCGTTCCTCGGCTGTGAAGGGCACACGAACCTTGTTGGTGCTGTTGAGCAGCGTGAGGATGTCGCCCTTCTTCATGGTGACCTCTCGAGGACTCTTCTCCTGGTAGTCGTACAGAGCCAGAACCAGCTCCTTCCCGGTCTCATCGTCAGTTGGAGCCACTTGTTGCTGTCGGGTTAACAGGTCTGGTGTTAGAACGTGGTGGATAAGAATGTTCTGACGGGCCGAGGTTTCTGAACCAGCGAAGTGACCTGGACCCAAACCAAGTGAGCCAGAACCTGCAGACACCTCAGAAACATGTCAGGACCAGACCTGCTCTACCTTCCTCCACCATGGTCTCTCCTTTCTGGGTGACAGCCTTGATGCGAGGTTCATGACCTGTGATCTCAGCCTGCAGAGCCTGGTGCTTCTTCAGCAGGTTCTGGACACCAATCAGGTCCTTCCCTGAGGACACATGTTAGAGTTCAGCATTATGCAGTAGACAGACCAGTTTAACCCAGGGGTTTCTTTCTTCTACAATCTGCTCTTTAACTGTATTATTTCCTGCTATTTCAGCTGTTAACTTTATTTTTTCTCTAAGTGTTTTTCTCCCCAGAAGAAGCTACAATGATGTTCTGCTGAGCTGTGGTGGCCTCATGGAGGGGGCCATCATCTAGCACACTGCTGCTAACCACTTAATCATTCTCCCTCTCCTGATAATAACATTTTACTTTCTTTGATGTTGGATGTACTACTGCTAGTTTACCCGTTTAATTATAGATTCACTAGGATAAATACAATAAAATTTATCTCTCGCCAAATAGAATATTTACTAAGAAATCACAATGTAACGTGTGTGTGTGTGTGTGTGTGTGTGTGTGTGTGTGTGTGTGTAAAAGCCATGTGTAGTGTTTATTTATAAAGCATATGTTGTTGGATTTTATCCAGAATCGAGACTTTGAAAATATATTGTTTAATTACAGTTTGATTTATTTGACATCTGTATAATGTTTATTATTTTGTTTTTTCCCCCTAAATGCCTAACGTTTGAGTTTAACATGAATATCAGTCATTCATCCCAATACATGAAGTTACACATTTTAAATTTTAATAGGGGAAGACTGCAGGAGGGAGCGGTAAAATCATAGACTGTACATACTTGCTACCCGCCGGCTGTGATCACAAGCGACAACATATTAGTTCCCGCTGCTTCTTCGGTAAACAGCGCCAACAAAAACAAAGAAACTTGGGATCTTGTCGGCGTGGCGGTGGGATTTAAGGGAAACGCTGTATGCCCTATAGACTTCTCACCGAGCTGCAGTATTTCTCCGGTCAGATCTGTCTCTGAGAGCTCCACAGCGGTCAGCCCGCGCAGAAACTAGCCGCCGCACCAGTCAGGCTGCCTGGCCTGACCGCTGGGGATTACCAGATGGAAGAATGGACACAGAAGTCTCCCTCTTAGCGCTCCGTCATATTTCAACCCATTTTGATCTTTTACCATATTACCCATCTAAATATGCCCTATTAATTATTTTACCGTATTTTACATTTAAATTTCATGGTTAAACAGTAAATGCTACATGTTAAACTGATGGTTAGCTAGCTACTTCGGTAAACTCAGCTAGTTTAAAGGCAGCAGTGACATAAAATACGAATATAGATTTTAACTTACCGAAAAAAATGAAGTGGAGACTCCTTGGACGCTCTATTAGTGCAATTAATACCACTGCAAGTCATTTTGTCCAACAATTGCACCAATAATATCCAAAACAGAATTCACAAGCACAGAGACTCAAAATCCCGAAACAGCTTCCAGGAGGGGCCGAGGCTGTACTGAGGCCTTTCCACGGAGCTAGCTCTGTGGTCACGTGGGTCTGAGGCGGCGGTCACGTGTGTCGGATGCTCATTAATTATACAGAATTTTAGGCTTTCAATACACTTAAACAGAAGAGTGAGAAAAAAATTCACCCCCCTCAGAGTTGTCATGAGTATAAACTAGATAATTTAGACAAAAAACATGTTTTGGCACCAGGCTGTAAACATGTTTATTTCTGCTGTGAAATCGGCATTTTCAACATGGGAGTCAATGAGGATTTGCTCGCTTCTGGCACCAGCCCCCAGCGGATGAGGGTGGAACTGCAATTTTTCTTACTTCCGGGTTGGGACCATTTTCTGAGCGGCATTGTGGGGGCTTGGATGCAACACTTGGCCTGCTGAGCTCTGTGCTTTTTTCTTTGAACAAGCCAGAGCACAGTCAGTTAATGGGGCACAATTAGGTTGGAGGTACAATTGTTTTGTGGGAAGCATTGTCACCGAATAAAGCAACATCTTGAATTACTTTCATTTGGGTCTGGTCTAAAAGTCACTTTTCTCTAATGATCTATCAACGAGGTGTCTAAAACCAATGACAGTGACTTCCATGCCATCCAGCAATGATGTCCTCAGTGAACTTGCTTTAAAGGTTCTTGTTTACATCACAGCAAAGTTCAGAGCTGATCTGCATGGAACGGGTTGCCTCCTGAGTCATTGTTCCTGAGTTAGCATTGTCCCCTGGTGCCTCCCAGGTGTGGCTCTCTCAGCATAATTAAGGTGGGATCTGCCAGGGCTTCTGGGGTAGGGTCATTCATCAACTGGATCACCCTTAAGATTAATGTGCACTTGCTGCAGCGCTCCAATGGATTGCTGCCACTTGCTGAGATCATTAGCGTTGGCCTCCGTATGACTGCAGAGGACTCCGCTCAGTGTATGGGAAGATTTGCAGCTTTGCATACTAAATGAACAGTCCATCATTGCCTAATTAAGGGATTATTGGAGACACTTGTGTCCAGTCCCATGGACAGTAAACCATAACTGAAGGGCAAACTAGATAGATTAGCTCCACCTGCTTAGTGGCAAAGTGCAAAGAAATGAAACTGCTGACTAAAGTAAGCTCAAAGGAGGGAGTGCATCATCACAGTCCGTAATCCCAAAGGAACTTGACTTAATAACTCATTGTTTTTACAGCACACAGAGTGAAAATTGCAACATTTTTGCTTGTGGTCACTAATCCTACTTAAACACATACTTAGACAAAAAGTTTAAAACAGGAGTCACATTTAGTCCTAGAGTGGTGTCCTTTGGATGAAATTCTTGCAATGCTATTTTCTTTCTTTCTTTTCTTTCTTGGTTTTTCTTCTGTCCTTGAGTTTTATTTCTCTGATTGTTGCACCTACTCTGTATTTAGTGCTTCTTGACATCATTTATAAAGTGCAACATTCCTCCTATTGTTCAGCCCTGTTCTTCATGCTGTTGTCTGCACAAAGTTAAGAGTCCCTTGGATAGGTGCTTTGGATTATATACCTTTGAGGCATGTTTTCTTGGTGCAAATAGCAGTTTTTTATATTTTTTTCATTTCTTTACTAAGTAATCTCCTGTTCATTCCTGTGTTTCCTTCAGCCATGAAGTGTGACATGTATCGATGCTTCTTGTCAAAGTAAAACAGACACATTATGGTGGTCCTTTCGTCTTTTGACAGATCATCTGAAATGCAAAGCATCTGTTTATTTTCAACAGGAAGAGTCATTCTGTTGGGAAACTGTTTAGATGTAGAACCATTTGCCCCTCCTTCCCACAGGATGCATAATTGTTGTGAAACAGCCGCAAAACGTGTTCTGTGCCAATTAGATTTTGAACACATGCCAGAAGGACTCGTTGCCTACGTGTTAATATCTTTCCAGAACACGTCCAACTCGTTAGTTCAGATAGGGATAAACAGGAAGTCAAATGTGAACATGCTGAGTGTCAAGTGGGGAGGCTTTGGGTCCCATTTTTAGTCTTCGGTATGATCCACCTGTGGATTTGTCTCAGGGCAGACATTGAAACATACGTCATTTCCTGTGAAACCTCTGTAGTTGAGGTAAACAGAAAATAAAAGAAACCACAGACCTTTGGGATACATCCAACTGTCTTTCTCCTAGCTTGTTTTCATATGAACTTCCAAAATTCTTGGTGTTGCAATTCAGTTGTGTCTTTGTGGCCTCGCAGGACTAACAGCGTGGAACTATTTTGCTCCTGTTTCCCAGTTGGAAGGAAGCTTGTGGGTAAAATGGCTCCATTGTGTTACACGCCACTTATGCGTCTGATGGAAAGGAGGGGTTGCACTAAACTCCCAGGAACAACCATGATCAAGGATGAAGGTGTTTTAATGGACACACAAAACCATTTCTGTTCATTTCTACTGTAAAACACCTTTTCCAAAGTGAAACATTTCAAAACTTTGAAAGAATGAGTAAAATGTGTGAATTACTTCTTTTTTTTTTTGGTTTGGCTTCCCTTTGGTAGTCATAGAGCGCCAATACCACACATTCATGTTTCAAACACATATTTACACGGTTGTTTCTTTTAGCTCTGTTTATGGTCTTTCACTGCACTAATTGCTGACTCTTCCTGTCTCTCATTTAGTGCTCATTCAGTGTCTCATTTTAGTGTAAACGGTTCATTGTTTCGTTTCATCCTGCACTTGTGCACCTCATGTATAAAAAAGAAATTAGAAACGTCTACAAAATTCAGTTAAACCAAAAATGTTCCTGGAGTTCACTAAATGATCCTGTACGGATAAATAAACTTTAGAACAAAGCTAGCTTAGGAAAAAAACAAGGTTCTTGTTATAAAACATTTACTGAAAAACTTTGTATTTTTATCAAACAAACAAATGCCTAAACAGTTAAGTCCGTGAGTCTAAGTCTCAAATATTATACAACTTTTCACACAAAACAGAAACACACAGATGATACGTGATAATATTCTAATTCTGACATTTCTAATTTGGGGTTTTCTTAAGCTTCAACCCATAATCACCATAATTAAAACCAATAAAGGTTTAAAATATTTGGCTTTGCAAGTAATGAGTTCATCTGATATTTTCATTTCAAATTTTAAGTTGAATGACTGTGATAAATTAACTTTTGCACCATTTTTAAGTTCCACCTGTATATAAACTTGTTGAACAGTTACCACATGCAAAAGTGTTCAGTTCTTGCTGTTAATCCTCTGGTTTAGTGGTAAAAGTAAGAGCTTTGTTGAGTTGTAGCATCTCTAGAAGCAGTGACGATCTCTCATGTAAATATAAAATGCAAATGCAGAATGTGGAATGAATGTGTGTGCCAAAACAGCCTAAAATAGGAGGAGATTCTTCTTGTTTAAAGCATTATACAGTTTCACATTGAGATATGAGGGGAGGGCTGAGTGCGGCTTGGCTGGCTGTAAGCCTCCCTGTATATGAGGCTTGTTTTTCATTGACTGTGTCAGGAATCAAGAGGGCTAATCCCTCAGAGACTTCAGATGAAAGTTTCAAAAGAAATAATGAAAGGCATACTGCCCGAGGGTGCAAATCGGGGTGAACGTACAGCACGCTGGAAAGAACAGCAGCGGCGCACGACAAGCAGCAAAGGAAGAACATAACAGCTTCCCTCGCTGCCACCCCCACCAGTCTAACTATAAATCACATATTCTGTCTCCAAGACATAAACAAATACACAGCGGAGCACATCAAAAACTTGGCACAGCATGAATACTTGCAAAACGTGGCATTTTGCAGCTTGTTCTCTCAAAATATCTGAATGATCTGCAAAAATGATGAGAGTCTTTATAAAAAGCAACACGAGACCACTGTTTTTGCAGTGGGCCCTTTCCCAGAAATGCTTCCTTGAGTATCAGAACATCTGCAAATGTAACGTGACCAACACCTGATATTTACTGGATGTGTACAACACACATATTACACAAAAGCCTGAAGTTTATTCATTTTGTGCCCATCTGGAATCTTCCGGATGTGAAGTGGGAGTTTGAAGAATCTTTGGTTCTCAGGTGGAGTAAAATGGAGAGTTTTAGAGACATGGAACAGAATTAATTCCTGACTTGTTGAACATGAACATCTGAACAGGTGAACACATATTTCCACCTTTCATTTGTACCACAGAAAAGCATGACGGTGCCACGGACATGCCTGTTAGCTGTCTCTTTGTTAATATACCAGCTGTGAACTGTGACCACAGACTCATTTAGGCTGCAAGGGACAGTAGGTCCATTTGAATCCCCACAAACCCAGCCCTATTTTCATTTTTTAGAAAGACACCAGGAAATAGAAACCCATGTTTCTATTATTCTTTAGAGCAGAAAGATAAAATGAGCCACTGAGACATAAGTCACAGTTGACATGTTACTTCCAGTTGATTTTATGATGGGTTCCACAAACAAATTATTCATATGGCCTTGGCTCCTGCAGTAGATGAGACATTTAGTCTGTGGCTCCAGGGCTTGAGCTGCAGAAAATGTGCACCATACGTCTGAAATGAAAAAATTAGAATGCCACACAGTTCACAAACCATGTGCTATGAATGGAGAACACCACTAATAGTGCTGCTGGAGAATTACATCTGCATTCTGCTGGTCATGCATATGTAAATCTACTTGCTCCCTCTTCTCATAGCAATGACTTTCAGGAAGGACCAAGCATCTTGGTCCATAACCCTTGAAATTATTAATGTGCAAATAAGATGTTTTCATTTTTCTCACTGAAAGAAGGTGTTGTGTCATTTTCTTTTTAAACAATGATGTAACTGCATTTGCATCAGCCAAGGACAAAACAGCAAAGACTAGATTTATACAACAGGGCAATTTAGCATGAGGCAGCGATAAAACAAGAGGTGTTGATGGGAACAGACAGCTCTGCTGGTGATCTATCGGCAATGCCAGGATTTATGATCACAGACACCACAAGTCCCAACAATGACCACCACAGCTTTAGTCTGGCCTTGTCAGACAAACACACATGGGATTACATTGCGAACCTCATTTTCTGTTTCCAAAAGTCATCACCAACAGCTGTACACCAAAGTGTGTCTGAACAAGAGCTGACTGACCCACAACCAATCTGTAAAAGCTTGCATCATCCTCGTCAGTATAGAACAGGTTTTTTGAAGTAGCATGATGATATTCAAACAAACATGCTGCAAAAAAGAGAATATCTGTGTGTTGGAGCTGAATGCATTAACCCTCTCATGCTCAAAAAAAGTTTTGATAAAAGGACGAACAACTAAGTCCTTCAGGGGTACTTCTGAGTAAAAAAATGCTTATGAAATACATGTCCTTCTCAAAAAATTAGCATATTGTGATAAAGTTCATTATTTTCTGTAATGTTCTGGAA